AGGGAATCTTGGAATGCTTTGGAAGGGACCCTCCCAGGGAAGGATTTACCCCCAATATCCCACCTAAACCAGCACAGGGAATCTTGGAATGCTTTGGAAGGGACCCTCCCAGGGAAGGATTTACCCCCAATATCCCACCTAAACCAGCACAGGGAATCTTGGAATGCTTTGGAAGGGACCCTCCCAGGGAAGGATTTACCCTCAACATCCCATTTAACCAGCCCAGGGAATATCCTGGAATGCTTTGGGTTGGAAAGGACCCTCAACACCCTCCCAGGGAAGGATTTATCCCCAGTATCCCAAGGGAAGTCCTGGAATGCTTTGGGTTGGAAGGGACCCTCCCAGGGAAGGATTTACCCCCAATATCCCACCTAAACCAGCACAGGGAATCTTGGAATGCTTTGGAAGGGACCCTCCCAGGGAAGGATTTACCCTCAACATCCCATTTAACCAGCCCAGGGAATATCCTGGAATGCTTTGGGTTGGAAAGGACCCTCAACACCCTCCCAGGGAAGGATTTATCCCCAGTATCCCATGGGAAGTCCTGGAATGCTTTGGGTTGGAAGGGACCCTCCCAGGGAGGGATTTACCCCCAATATCCCATTTAACCAGCATAGGGAATATCCTGGAATGGTTTGGGTTGGAAGGGACCCTCCCAGGGAAGGATTTACCCCCAATATCCCACCTAAACCAGCACAGGGAATATCCTGGAATGCTTTGGAAGGGACCCTCCACACCCTCCCACCAGACCAGGCTGCTCCGAACCCCGTCCAACCTCATCCTCGGCCACTTCCAAGGCCGGGTCGAGACGACCCGACCTAAATTCCTCCCCCGGAAAAAGCTGGGAATCCTCCTTTCCAGCCTCCCCCTGCTCACCTGAGGGCCCTGCTGAGCTTGTCATAGTTCATCTGGGGTTTGCACTTCCTCCTCCCCCACAGCCGGGCCACCTCGTCGGGGTCCTTGATGACGAACTCGCCGTACTCTCCCTGCTGCCAGGCGATGACGTGGCGGAATTCCTCCTTCTGGAGCAGCTCCAGGATGAAGTGCCACAGCTGGATCTGCCTGGAGCCCGGGCTGGACTCGGTTTTATAAGCCCACTCCGGGAAATGATACCCTTTGGGAAGAGAGAGAGAGGGGGAAAAGTCGCTCAGAGAGACGCGAAAACGCGTCCGGGGTTCGCTCCGGGGGGCCGGAATTCCGTCGGATATTCCAGGGTTAAGAGGGATTTCCACGGATTGAGGGGATCCCCCCCTCTCAGAGGAGAAATTTGTAGGGGTATCTGAGAGATTTCTATGGATGTTTGAGGGGTTTCTATGGATTGATGAGAGATTTGTATGGATTGACGAGGTGTTTCCATGGATTGCTGAGATCCTCTTTGGGACAAGAAATTTTTAGGGATATCTGAGAGATTTCTGTGGATGTCTGAGCTATTTCCATGGATTGATGAGACCTCTCTCAGGTAAGAAATTT